GCACGATGCTTCACGTGTCCTGAAGCTGATCTTCCCCACCAACCTTTCCCGTCGCACCACAATCCAAGCGCACCTACATACGCACCGATGGAAAAAGTTTACGGCGGCATTTTAAATATGCCTCGAGACGACAGTGAAGCAGAGTACAACTATGTCATCATGTTCATCGATGCAGCAACACGATACTTATGGCACTACAATCTCAAGACACGTGATCAAGCGTTCGAAGCCTTCACGATGTGGCTCCCCATTGCTGAACGAGAATCGGGCTCCCCACTCAAAAGCTTCCAGTCCGACGGGGCACTCGAGTACCAGTCACAAAGGTTCAAGAGCTATCTGGCAGAAAGAGTCATCAGACGCCTGGTGTCTCTGCCCTACGCTCACCAGCAGCAGGGAGTCGCAGAGAGGATGAACCGGACCTTGCAGACGACGATGCGAAAGCTGCTCTTGGGGATGAGACTGCCCAACACACTGTGGCCTGCGCGATGACACATGCAGTCCACCTCCACAACTTGCTGTCCTCATCATCACTTCCCAACAGCGCATCACCGCACCTGCTGTGGACAGGAAAACAGGGCAGCACAAAATTACTTCGATTTTTCGGCTGCATGGTATAGTACAGACCCCATACAGCCCGAGCAGGACGATTCTCTCAACGAGCACGATGGGGACTACACCTCGGCATCGCAAAACATTTCCAAGCATGGAAACTTTTTGACATTCATGACAAAACCACCGTAGCCTCACGTGATGTGATTTTCTACGAGAGACTAACGCTGCAGCATTACCTGGACAACATCGCCAACACAACAGACCCCACTGACAGCTTCGAAGGCCATCGGTCCTTCGCCGACCGTGCTGCCGAAGGTGACGCAGCAGAAAAAGACGTACCTGAAGCCTCGGAAGCTGCCGGACCACTCCCTTACTGCTCCGTGCCCGTTCCACTCGACGACGACAATCCTCTCGATAGTAACAACCTCGACACCTATTACCACTTCGCTGACCAGGGTTACAATACACCACTACTGGTCGACACAAAAATCTCTGAACGCATCGGACCCAATTTCTTACCTGACCCCGAAGATGGTGACGAAGCAGCTTATCCCGAGAATGACAATTCCCCTCGACACACACCCACGGGCCTGCAGATACTTGGACTATGGGTCACCGTCCAGAGCCCGCCGTCGCCATCGCCGCGCGAGCCAACGACTCTGTCGCAGGCTTTGGGGGGGGAACACAAGGCGAAATGGAAGGAAGCAATGGAAAAAGAACTGAAGGCCCTGCAAAACCGAAATACGTGGAAGCTGGTACCTGCAACAAAAACCAACGGGAGGAACGTGCTCTCGGGGAAATGGGTGTACCGCATCAAGACTAATGCGGATGGCTCCATCAACCGCTTCAAGGCTCGCTGGGTCATACGAGGATTCGACCAGCGATATGGAACCGACTACACAGAGACATTCGCCCCAGTCTCTCGACATACCTCCCTGCGCATTCTGTTCGCCGTCGCGGCCACGAAAAAACTACCACTGCGCCAGATCGATGTCGCCAGCGCCTTCCTGTACGCACCTGTGGATGCCGAAATCTTCGTCGAGCAGCCCCACGGATTCATCGACGATCCCACAAAAGTGTGCCAGCTGGTAAAATCCCTCTACGGAATCAAACAAGCCCCGCGACTCTGGCAGCAGCACCTTCACGGCCGCCTCGTCAGGATCGGCTTCCTGCAGCTGCCGCACGATCAAGGGATGTACCGACTACAGAAGGGGGGGATTTCGTCCTACGCATCGTCCACGTCGATGACCTGCTCTACGTCGGCTCCACTACCGACGTCGTCACCTGGTTCGAAGGGGAGCTGAAGAGTGACTTAACACTTACGGTGTCAGACACCGTGCGCCAGTACCTAGGTCTGAACGTCGTCGAAGATGACGAGGCATTCTACTTATACGCCCGAAAGTACGTAGGCGTTGTCGCGAAGAAGGTCGGACTAACGCCGGTCGCAATCACGACTCCCTATCGCTACGGGAACAACAGCGACACCTTCGCAAAGCTCCCCGCGAAGCAAATCCAGGAATATCAACAGAAGCTCGGCTGTCTACTGTTCGCAGCAGTAACATGCCGACCGGATCTGTCCTACAGCGCGAGTCAACTGGCGACACACCTGAAGCAGGTGGAGCAAGATCATCTCGAGGAACTAAATCGGGCACTACTCTACTTCGTCTCTACGCCGACGACCGGACTTACCTACAGCAAAGCAACATCATCGTCCGTACAACGACTAGGCTATGTCGACGCCGATAAGGAGAATCGTCGCTCCAGAATGGGCTACATCTACCGACTAGAGCCTATCGGTACTATTTCCTGGCAATCGAGCAAGCATGAACCAATCGCGCTATCCTCGGCTGAAGCGGAATACATCGCCCTCTGCTCTGCGACCAAAGAAGGACTTTACCTGCGGGAGCTACTCGAGGAAGCGAAAATTGCGACCATGCACGCCTTCTTGTTATTCTGCGACAACCAATCCGCAATCAAAATTGCGAACAAAAACGGGTTCGCCAATCGAACCAAGCACATCGCTCTGCGGTACTTCTTCGTCAAGGATGAGATCACGAAGGGGAGACTTCAACGCAGTTACTGCCCCACGACAGAAATGGCTGCAGATTACCTGACGAAGAAACTTGCAAAGACAACGTTCGATTACTGCATGCTGCTAACCGGGCAGACAAACGTCACCGAATCCGGACACGTCAGCACTCCAGAAATGAAGGGGAGTGTTGGAAATACCTCGAAGACTTAAGCGTTTCTGGAGTGTAACACTACACTTGAGGAAAGTCGTATCGAGTACACGAGTCAACGGAGGTTACACGAGGAGGTTGGACGAAAGAACACGAAAGGACGAAGGGACTCAAAGGGTCGCAACCGGAGGTTGCGACTGGCCGTTACGACTGCAAGGGTGGTAACCAAACCGACAATCGAGTCGCTGTGCGACTCGATAACCGTTCCTTCAACTGTATTCTACAACTGCTTCATCTCTTATTTTCTATATATTGCTGTATGCTTGTTTCTTTAATCAATCACTTGCTCTCACATACTAGTGCAAGGGTTCAACTACTCAACACTTTCGCTGCACTACTCAAGCATTCTTGTACAAGTGGGACTTAGTATCTGGAAAGATCCTAAGGGCTTTTTATCAGCCCAATAAGGGGTGATGTTGAGGACTGGGAATGGGAACCCATTTTTTGTTTGTCCTGTCTCTGGCTACTAGGACTTAGCCAGGTTTTGTGGGTTGTTGGGTGTGCAGGGGGAGTGGCTGTCCTAGAGGACTTGGCCGATTTTTTAGGTTACTTGGTGTGTGGGGGGGATGTCTGAAAAAAAGGTCTTCGTCGATTTTTTTGAGTTGGGTGTGTGGGGAGACCAGTCACGTGTAGGGGGGATTTTGCAAAAGGTCAAGGATGGCATGGATGTCGCATTCAGGGTCTGTACGTGTTGCTCCCTGAAAACTCAGTATTGGCATAACGCAAACCCCGAAATCCTGTATGTTCAAAAACTTACAACTCTGAAGGGACTAGGGTTCAAAAGCGCCAAACCCTGAAAATTTTGGGTTGGCCAAAAAACACCCTGTGAAATCAGGGAATCAGGGTAAAATTGTTAAACTCTGAACTAGGAAGAACAGAGGAGGCCGCCATGAAATGGCGGCCAAGGGTTTAGCTAGAAGCTGGACGAGAGTGTCGAGAGAGAAGAGTGGTAGACTAGAAGAGAATGAAGTACAAGAAGGGGGTTGTCCCCCCTACTGTAGGATGCAGTTAGTAGCATAACTACCAAGCCTACAATTATATAAAAATATAATTTGAACACACCCCCTAGGCTTGGTAGTGGCAAACCCACACAACCCACACACACACCCCCTAACCCCGGACACCCTCATTCTTGTGAGCAGCCGGGTATCAACCCCTCGTGCTAGGCTATGACACCCCCGGTCGAGAGGCAGCTGGCCGCATCTGGGCGGCCTCAATGACGACAGCGGCGGAGCTCGTGCTCAAGGCGGCTGTGTCGATGAGGACAGGCGGCGACTGCGGCGGCTGAGGGCTCTCGGCGGTGTGGCACGGGCTGGCGACGACCGAGCCGAAGACAGCAGCTACGGCAGGAGCAGGAGGAGATGCAGGGGAGGGAGAGGTGGTGGGGCTGCTGTGGTGGGGCTGCAGGACTTCAGCGCGGCGCCATAGGCACGGCGCTTACTGGAGGGAGGAGCAGGCGGGACGGGGCCCAAGAGGGGCGCGGCTGGGCTAGGAGGCACGGCAGGGCCCAGGAGGGGCGCGACGTGGGTAGGAGGCACGGCAGGGCCCAGGAGGGGCGCGACGGGGAGGTGGAACGGCGGAGCCGCCACGTCAGGGCGGCAAGCCCAGCACGGCTGCTCGACGTGGCAGCCATGCGACATGGCCGCCACGGCGGCACGGCAGGAGCGACGAACGCACGAGAACGCAGCGGAAAGCACGGAGGGGAGCAGGCCCAGGAAGGGCATCCCGCTCTGGATACCATGTTAAACTCTGAACTAGGAAGAACAGAGGAGGCCGCCATGAAATGGCGGCCAAGGGTTTAGCTAGAAGCTGGACGAGAGTGTCGAGAGAGAAGAGTGGTAGACTAGAAGAGAATGAAGTACAAGAAGGGGGTTGTCCCCCCTACAGTAGGATGCAGTTAGTAGCATAACTACCAAGCCTACAATTATATAAAAATATAATTTGAACAAAAATACCCTGATAAAGACAGCCCTGCACGGGGGTGCAAGGATGTGGGGGTGCTGAGTGTGGGGTAGGCTTTCCACTACCAAGCCTTGGTAGGTGTGCTACATTGCTGGATCCCACTGTAGAGGGGACAAACGTCCATAGCACAAACTCACATTGTGAGAGAAGTGGCTATCGGTCAGGATGGCCAATCTAAGCGTGTCCTAAGCGTTCATTCGAATACGGTTGAGTGAGGTGGATTGCGTTTAGGAAAAAATCAGATAAACTCCGTACGACAGTTCGGTACAATCTGGGCAAAAAACGGGCACTCAGCACATGCCAAATGTTCAGACAACCTAACGTTCGTCTAGGAGCTATGGAGCCCCACAGGTCCGACGGAATGGGCAGCCCGTTCCACGACGCCGTCAGCCACGCGCTCGGGCCTCCAGCCCCATACGTCCAGCAAACTCGACATTCAGCGTCTGTGCACAAAGGAGCAGCCAGCGACGAACCTTTTTATTCAGAAATAGACGAAAGCGCTACAAAAACGTCTACTATACAAATCATGGTTCACTAGCAGGTCTCGCCAGCCATCTCAACCCCGGTTATCTGGGCGTCACCCGTTCGCCCGTCGCTTGCGACACGCCAACAACACGGCAGCACCCAGCAGCCCAGCAGCCCCTGCAGCCCCTACAGCCCCTGCAGCGCCGGCGTGAATACAAGCGGGCGCGCGTCAACACCGCCCCGACCTCGCCTATCTGGCCCCGGCCTTGCCGCCCGCCGCCTTGCCCTTTCGTCGCAGCACCTTTCGCGGCGCGCTCTTCCCGGGCGAGCTCTGCGGGGGGTCACCCCCCTCGTCGCTGTCGGACGGAGTGACGTCGAAGCCGAAGGCGTTGGAGCACGAGAGGCGCTCCCAGCAGCTCAGGTACACGGGCACGCCCGAATCGTCGCTGACCCAGCTGCCGTACGTCTCCGTGCCCGGCGACCACTTGATACACTTGGACTGCTCGCGCCCCGCGCCCACCCACCCCACGTACTCGTCGTACGCCGCCCCGTTATAATCCTTCTCGCCGAGCAGCTCGAGGGTTCCGTCGCCGTGCTGCGTGGCGTTCGCCAGCGGGCCGTAGACCTGCGCGCTGCTCAGTCCTTCGCACGCTGATGAGTTGGCGAAAGATGGTAACCCGTCGAGGTCTGTGACTCGCAGCACGCTGTCGAATTTGTGGTCGGAGTCGCAGAAGTCCGTCTCGCTGTAGACGTACCACGTGCGAAGGCAGTCCGAGGGCGCGTTCGCGAAGACGGAGCACTCGTAGAAGCAGAAGTTGTGCGCCGCGGCTGGCGTCGAGAGGATAACGGCCAACAGTGCAGATGCAACGAAAAATGATTTTTTTGAGGGCTGTCGAGCTGGAAGACCCATGCCTGTCTCACCGGCGAATGGCCTCTTACGCTGCTGTCGCGAGGAAATGCGGTGCCCTATGTCAATTGTCCAATTGAAAACGAGACAGTCAGGCGCTCCAGCTGTTATATCGGTCTGACGATCACAAAGGTTCAAGCAACAATGCGTGCTCTCACGAAGCTCTTTCGGTCAGCGGATAGACGAGGCTGGCGGCTCAATGGGTAGACAGGACTGGCGTCAGAGTTCCAAAACAGGAGTCTGGTCGAACGTAGATAGTGTCTGGTTTCAGAAGGGGGACACAGTTGGGTCTGGGAAATATGGCTTTTTGCAGCGATTGCAGCAATGGCCTCTTTTGTAGTGACGGCTTTTCGCCAGCGTCTCTTCCCTCGAGTGGCTGTGCTGTAAATTGGCTTGCAGCATTTCTCCCAACTTGCGGTGTACCCGTGGCGTTCAAAACACGCGGCTCGATCATTCGCGAGCGCGACTCCGAGTGACAAGGGATTACTGTACAAACAAGCAAGTGAGCGCACCGCATCCAGGACGCAAGCTGCAATGCCAAATGACATGCCGCGTGTTGTGCGTGCCTGAGGAACACAGATAGTAACGGGTATGTGAACACATGAGCTGACAATTTTTCACAAGCTGTATGAATTTAATTCATAAGCTGACCATTGTTTCTCTTGCTTCTCAAGTATGGCTTTGGGAACAGGGCCCACCTTTGGTTTTTCAGCAATCTGATTTTCACTCTGATACATGTTCCTAGCTTTAGTGCGGCACAATACAAGCATGTGCAATAATTTGCTGGCATTGCACACATAACATTACACCAATTCACAAGGCACATCACTCATTTTCCTCCTCATAGCTCACATAAACCTCACACTCCTCATCTGACTCCTCAGCCAGTGAGGCCGTGCGGTCGAGGGGAACCTCATAGGCCTATAGTCTTCGCTTGCTTCTACGCCTTCTGCTTCCACCAGATGTCCACAATCTTCGGTAGTCCATGTCTTAGTCCTGCATGTTGACCATCATGAGTTCACTCAGCCGTGCATCACACAAGCTCTTGCGCAACCACGACCAAAACAAGTTCTGCCTACTGAAGTCGCATTCACACTCGACGGTGCTCAGTGGCAGCACCACCATGGCCTGCCACAACCTCATCAGGTTCGGGTAGCTCTTGGGCCAGTCTCTCGTCTTGAGCATGGCAATCAGGCCCTGGTTGAGTCGCCATCTGCTCGGTGATTCTTCATGATGTCGCGGAAGCTCTACAGCTCCAGCTGTACCGCCAATGGTTCACTCCTATAAGACGGGAATACAATCATTCACAACAAATTGCATGGCAGTCATCATACAAATAATCGAGGAAAGAAAGAGCAGACAAATAAACATCACACTTACATGGCAGCTTGTTGTCAAACAGGGCCACGCCAGAGGCCAGCCAGGAGAGACATCACCGCTCGCGCACTTCCATTTGTTTGTCTGTTTTTTTCGGCCAGCATTCAACCTTGAAGAGTGTTGCACCGCCAAGGCGCTGAGTGTCCCACAGCCTCTGCTCCACATTGGCGACCATGACCTTGGCGAACTCGATGCATAGCTTCTCGCTGTCTACCCGAGTGCCCCAGATCGTGTGACCAGGGAGGCGCTCTTCACTCAGCTTGAAGGTGTCGCTGTGTAGCAGCCGTCGTTGTCCACGCCCGTGATGACGATGAGACGGTCGCCCGGGTCATGGGGCTCTAGAAACTTCGTCAACCGCTTGTTGAGGCCCGCCCTAAAAGTCGCACCGTACTCGATGTACCGGTGCCGAATGTACGTGATCGTATGGTCCACCTCCTGGGAAACAAGGGTGATATCCACCTGAGGTAAAAAGGGGGGAGGTAGAGGGGTGGGGAGGGGGGGGGGGGGGGGGGGGGAGGTAGGGAGGAAGGGAAACGGGTGACGACGGATTAGTGGCATTTGAGATAGATAAGGCACGTGAAGGGTCCGTGGGTCCGTGTTTGTAGACAGCAAGCCAAGTACAACCTTTGTCAAAATTCAGAAGATTCGTTCATCCACTGCAGCTACAGTTGATTGATGATGACTTGGTGCGTGTGAAGCAATTACCTTACGTCAATACATTGATGGGGAAGTTTCAATCATGAAAGGATGTATTCCATATGAAACACAGGAGCATATTTAATCGAACAACCCACCAAGTGCAAAAGCAAGCAGCCCACCAATCACTAGCTGGATCCACACTCCAAAAGCTTCAGGTGTTGTGATACGAGATCGTTGCAAGAACAAACCATACTCTCCCATAATTGCACCTGCGAAATTCCCCAAGCGAGCTACTTGACAGCCAATCCCGTTCTCCTACCCAACCAACCTTCCTACTGTTGAACTACTCGGCACGCCGGTTTTAAGCCTTGTATTGGCACGGGTAAGTTTGTGCAGAGGACGAGATCGTGGGGGAACACTTGGCAGGTGCATGTTTAGGTGAGTACGTCGGAATTCAGGCCGAATGATGGGGATTCAGGTAGAGGTCACACCCACAGCCTCCTGAAACTGTTTCCAGGTGAATGTCGCAGGTGCAATGCACCAAAGGTACAGAAGCTCGAGTGAACTTTGGGACATTTGGTATGCAAGTTTTAAGGTGTACCGGATAAATGCCTCAAGGAAAAAAAAACCGTGCACCAGTGAGACTCCTAAACAACTCCAAAAAATCTCTCATGTGACTCTCATGAGACTCCCATGTGACTCCCGAGTGACTCTCGTGTGACTCCCGTATGACTCCCACGGGACCTCCCATTGGATTCCCATGGGACTTCCATGGAACTTCTTGGGGGCTTTCTATCACAGGTCCAAAATTTAGCAGAAGCTGGAATTAATAACTAATCATGAACAGAGGTGATTTTATCAGACTATTTTAGTCTGATAGTCTGAAATTTCAGACCATTTTTTTGGCCGATCCTGATTTTTCAGACTTGCCAACTTCCGAGTACTGAACCCTTCAGAGTTATATGATTTTAAGTCATGAGAATTTCAGACTTTGCACTTAGCGAATACTGAGTTCTCAAAGCACAGCGCGTACGGACCCTGGGACGCATACTGCATCTACCTGCCCTCAACCCAAAAATTTCGGCCAAGTCCTGGACTCCCAGGGTCAAGTCCTCTTACACACCCTGCAACCTATAAAATTCGGCTAAGTCCTAGCAGTCAGAGACAGTCCCCCAGCACACCCAGCAACCCATAAATTTTGTTGAAGTCCTTTTCTAGAGACACCCCTCTCACTCCCCCAACAACCCAAAAAAATCAGCGAAGTCCTCCATTTCTAGAGACATTCTTCCCACAACCCTGTCGCCTATATTTTTTCGCGAAGTTCAGTCAGAGGCTGACACAATCCCCTCAACAACCAATCACACACTTGCAAGGACTGGTCGCAGACAGACTCGTGCTCTACAACATCGGCCTTGCGATACGTCACAACAAGCTGGGCCTCGGCATTTTGCAGCCCGAGCACCTCGGAATACGCGCGCTAATACTCCACGCATGAAAGTTTTTTATGTGACAAACTGAACCTGCCCCCACGATTTTTTTCACTGTCTCGTCTTCATGCTTGCATGCTCGGGTGGTAGATTGAGCCACATCAGATTTTGAAAGGGTTCCCATGGGTGCAGGCTCTGTCAATCCTTGGGTTGGGTGAATTGCTCAGACTTACGGCTCCTATTTTTTCACTACCTCTGACACAACGAGCTCTCTACCACTAAAGCTTGCAAAGCTACCAAGTTGCAACTGGCCTCTGAAAAACGAGACTTCGACTTAGGCACGTGGACCCTGAATCGACATTTTGAACCCTGAGAACTTTAGACTAGTCGACTTCTGGAAACTGATATTTCAGACTTCGGAAATTTTGAAAAATGGCCCCTCAGACTTGGGAATTTTTTTGGGGGGTAAAATCAGAGTGCCTTTTTTTGAAACGTCAGCCCTGATCATAAATGTCTTAGTACAAGCAAAGACGCAACTCTATTTATACATAAGAGAACTCCAAGGAAGGGTATCTAGGCCCTTCTAAGAGAGTTCTAGGAATGAGTGGATATGTCCGCAAGAACATCTAGAATCTCGGTAGGGATTCTGGAGATACGCTGACCATGACGAAACACTCCACGCAATAAAAAACGTGTCACACAAGGAAAGTCCAAAACTCTCTAACATATATGATATATAATATATGAATGTGTAGGGGAAGAATGTAGGGATTTCCAGAAAAAAGAGAAACACACAAAATAGCACAAAATAAATAACAAACAGCAAATGGTTGTGATCAAGAAATCAACATGCCTTATCCTCTCACACATTTTCCCTCAAAACTGGGTAGACGTTGAAAGCACCTAGTTTTTCAGCAAGCACTTAAGGTTGTGAGGCTCAAAGTGGCCAGAGAAAATCAAGCCAAAAAAGTTGTGCTTGAATAGCAGCTCCTCTGTACTTCATTCCACACACTTGTAAGCCTATACGACTGTAGGTAGTAGGTATCCCATATTGGAGTATTGTGACATGTGACGCTCCAACTCAGGTTGCAGAATAGCGTAGCGAATAGTGATGAGTCCGTGCCTAAGTTGCGGCCAGTAGTATTTAGTTGCACTGTAGCATGTTGTAGCCATGATAACTGATTTATGTGGTCAAGAACCACCAAGTGGTCGAGGTTGATATAGCAATCATATATAGGTCCATATACCGTAGTACCTGTTGCGTGCCATTGCAAAGAGACTAGTTGCCAAGCGATTATAGTGGACGACGTCACCATGCTTGTTGAAAGAGCACAAATCCATAGTCGTGGTCGAGGAAACATGAGGATTTCTGCACTCAACCCATTTCACTCCTCTTCCATTTCCAGTAGGTTGTTGGTGACGATGACGGTAATGCCAGTATGCCTCATGCATGTCCAGTTTAGCACGACTTCCATCAAATGGCCTTGGTGAAACGAGTTCGAGTGAGTAACTCGACTCGCCGGAGCGCAGCACGACTCGACAACGATGACGACGCAGCAGTCGCAGCCGTTTCTCGAGGCTCCGAAACAGCGCCCACCTGAGCCGTTCGATCCGAGCGATCGAAACTCCGACGTCTGCAGATGGATCGCCGGGATGGAGATCTACTTCGCAGCCGTCGGATGGAGCTCGCCAGTCTGGGACGGTCAACGCGTACGACTCGCGGCGACACTGATGTGAGGGCCGGCACTCGAGTGGATTGGCAGCAACAGTACCTTCATCCACGGTGAAGCCGGCAGCAGTTCCGCGCCGACCTGCTGAAACGATTCGAGCCGATAAATTCGAGTTTCCTTGCCCGG